ACATAAAGATTAGCATAACATTCTGCAATATTTCATTCACTTCCTTAAAAGCAGAGCTTATTCATTAAAATTTTACATCTGCATGCTGCATACTCCTAGTTTTCGTATAGGTACAAAACGTTTGCAAATATAGCGATACTATATTGTTATTAATGACACAATTACGATATGAACATGATAATAAGACGCGTGTAACGGTAAAGGTTTTAGTTACACGTTACACATAAGGTTCATATCGAACGTGTATCATTCAAAATTTAATCTACGACGGTAGATTTTATTCACATTTTGAATTATCTAAACGTTTTTGTAAGTTAAAATGCAAACTTATCAAGTGCCCTTACTAATGGCTGTCGTGGTAATCGCGTCTGTCAATTTTGACATTTGACATTTGACGTTTGTCACATGTCACTAATAAACCTAAGCGAAAATCAATGAAGTTTGACACTTTATCCCATATTTCACGCTGAAGCTACGTGAAATCTATTGAGAAGAAGTGAGCGGTGAAGTACTTTGAATGCAGCCGGCAAGCTCCGAAACCACACGGTTGAAACAATCCAGCGAGGTATAATTTACGACTTTCTTATGCCCGTTTTGCGAGAATTACCGGTGAATTAAACTAAATGGCGTATAGTTTCGTTGAACACTATTTAATGATTTGAATTTGTTTAATTAGAAAGAATCGTTATATTGCTTACTAAGATGGGTTTAATTATCTGGCTAGCAGGATATTTAAATTTGTGAATATTCTGACTTTAATTACTAAATTTCCAAATTTTAAGACGCAACATTTTAAATTTTAAGGAGATACCCTCACCGCGTCATTTTTTGCATAATTGAATTGAATATGGTCACAAGTTGCGGGCAAGTGCAGCAAATGTACCAGCGCGTCTTTTAAATCCATATTGTTGCAATCACAGTATATTTTATGTCTATTATATTGATGCGTCTCTTAAGTTCGTCAAGTGTTCTTGGAAGTAGGGGTACATAAGCATGGTCCTTAACATACCATAAAATCTTTCGATATGCCAAAAATAATCACGATCACATAAACACATTTGCTATATTTTTGTCAAACCGAGACGGTCATCGTGGTTACTAGTGTGCTCGGTTCTTTTATATATTGGGAGTTGGGAGGTGAGGCATCATGAAGGAAATTCAAGAAAACCTGTTGAGTGTACGGGTATTTGCATCAAATAAAAGACAACCGGGAGAAAATTATAAACTGTTGGCATGAAATACTTCGGAATAGTGATAAAAGTATATAAAATGGAAAAATGGAAACTTCTTACTTGCTAAATAAGTACGTTCTTACCTTACATTATGCACTTGAAACAGAGTAAGTAGGTAATTAAATAGTCAATAGAATGTAGATGTAACTTAATATGCTAACCGCATCTAAAATAATTATACGTAATTAATTGCGATAAAATGAAGTGAGGTTAGTGAGGTAGAGCTTTCCATTGCTGGTTGGCACGAAACTTACCAGCTGCGACTGAAACATACCCGGTAAGCTTAAAAATGTGTTGTGACTAAAAAAAGCTAATTGGAACCGTATTACTAGCACAATCTAATTTAAGTTATAATAAATATTTAATTACGCGGGATTCTTACACTAAAAGGTTGAATGGAAGATCAAATCGCAGCTAAGGTGTGAACTCCTGCTTGTAATTTCTTCGAGGATTTTTTTTCGATGATCTTCTGTACCAATTACGAATTATATGGCGTGTATGAAAGTCAGTAGATAAGACTGGCACGAGTACGTTTTATACACATCACCTTATAGGAAAAAGAAATACATTGTGCGGAAATATATGTAGTGCGATGCAGCATAGAAGTGCAGGGTACAAACTCAGTAAGAAATTAATTAAATCAGCAATTCCTAAACGGATTAGAAACAAGAAAACGTCGCCATTAGTTTATACCATTCAGCTTAGTGAAGCACGAAATGCTAATAAAATAACTAAGTCGCTGCGTGGAGTATTTAAAACACATTTTGTCTTGGGACCATAAACGGCTGTACGATTATTATTTAAGAATAAAACTTTTGCTTCAGATTTTAATGTAAAGAAAGTTAAATTAGAAAGAGAGCAATTATACGGCTTTCAAGCATATTTAAAATCAAAGTTGGAGTAGGGTGTGTTTTAATTACCATAACTAATTTTTGAATAATTACCGTAAGCGTCTCACTTATTTCAGAATATAGAAGTATTTAGTTTCGGTAAGAAAGTAGGGTGCATATTTTTAATCGGGCGGTTCGTTTGCATAATTTAATAACCTCAAAATTGGCTTACAAATTTGATGTTGGCGACGGTTTTATGCATGGGAATACTTCAGGTATTGATTAAATGTACTACGTCATACGTCAGTATTAGGTGGTACGCAAAGAATAATTCTCGATGATTAAATTGAAATCACCATCGCTGCGCTCTTTGTTCGGAACGCTATTGATATTAGCAGAAAGGTCGATCCTTTTAGTAGACTTTTTATTAATTACTATCAATGAGTCATTGAGAGATGGTTTTCGTTCACGGGCAGCCTCAGACGCCGAATTTCCGCCAGTCATAATCGCAGAGTGTGTTGCACGTTTTAAGATAAATCATTCACCAGCGTGATTTTGGGAGAACGAAGATCATACCTAGAGTAGGATATTAACGCCACCAAGCGCTGAAGAAGTTTTTGACAGCACGTTCAAGGAGAGAACGAGATACCTGAATATTTCCACGGCGGAACATAGCCCACGAATTCTGTGACCGGTCCGTGCAAAGTACACCTAGAAAACCAATTTCAATTCCACATCGGAGGAAGCAATCCACGAAAAGCGACGCCCATAGTCGTATCGGTTTGTGGGCGTTTAACCATATCCAAGTCAAGGAGGAGCTGCCACTTGGTGGGTCCTTACTAAATTTCAACCGAAACGCACGTTGCACAGTAGTTACTGACTTTTACACGTGAAACTCTAACACACAAAACGGCTTCTCGCTTCCCGTGGCAGCAATTTCTTCTACTGCCTACGTCTACGTCTAGCGGTTAACTAACTCACTAACTGGTTATATGCGGAAAGAAACTATTTGAGCTGCTCTTTGCAAATACTTGTTTTGTACTGAATTTTCGTAACCCCGAATTACATTGTGAAACTCCCTGTTTTAACAAGTACTATGGATATCATCAGTTACTAAACCTCCGTGCATTTATGAATGTAATACGCGATTCAGACTAACACTAGAGCCCTTAATCCTGCCATACCTGAAAGGCATTTTTCTTAAGAACTCAAAGCTGTTTTGAATTGGCTTGAAAGACAATTAACTTAATTTTAATTTTAAATTGTGATCTTTGATAAGTAATTACTCGTAGAAAATTAAAGTTAATTGTCTTTCGAGCCAAATTCGAAAACAGCTGAGTTCTTAAGAAGAATGCCTTTTAGGTGGGTAGGATTAAGGGCTCTAGGTTGTTAGTCTGAATCGCGTTTATTACATCATAAATGCACGGAGGTTTAGTAATTGATGATCATCCATAGTACTTGTTAATACAAGGGCGTTTATAATGTAATTCGGTGGTTACGAAAATTCAGTAGCAAAACAAGTTATTTGCAAAGAGCAGCTCAAATAGTTTCTTTCGCCATATAACCGAGCTAGTGAGTTAGTTTAACCCTAGGCGTTAAGACGTAGGCAGTTAGAAGAAGTGCTGCCTGGGAATTAACTTAATTTTCTACGATAATACTTATAAAGAATCACAATTTAGCATTCAATTTCTACTCGCCCACTTCCCTTACCCTTCATGTCAATGATGCTTTAAAAATTAAAATTAAATGCTTTCATATAATAAGTAAGTTGGCACTGCGCATGCGCACCCACCCAACAATTTCATCGGATGACAGCGTCACATAATTTTCTTAATATAGTACTAATTAAAGGGTAATGTAAATAAGTAAAACCGGTATACAGGGTGGTGACTTGCGTAACGCATCATAGGGATTTCAATGTAAAATTCATAACATGCGATTATTGGCTCCCCAAATTATTTTAGAGCAAAAATGTATTAAGGTTTTTTGTAGGAAAAAATTTTTTACGTCAATCAACCCTATTAGTTTTCAATTTTTTGCATAATAAAGACGGAAAATTGGAAAATAAAACCCCCATCTTTTTCAATAATCTGTGATGCCATGGAATTTTATAATACAAAAACTACGCCAATATCCGTCATGCCATGGAATGTCCGCTATAAAACAAATCAAATTCTATCAAAAAGTATTATATTTAGAACAGCGAATTCAACATAAAGAAAGACCAAATTACTAAAAACGGTTTCCTAATATAACAATTTACAATAAATGTCTGAATAAGTCACCATTAACTGCAATACAGTAACCAAGTCGATCATAAAAGCCATTTCGAACTGCTGCTAATTGATAACTGGATATCTTTTTGTTTTAGAAAATTCCATGGGATCGCAGATTATTGAAAAAGATGGGGGTTTTATTTTCCAATTTTCCGTCTTTATTATGCAAAAAATTGAAAACTAATAGGGTTGATTGACGTAAAAAATTTTTTCCTACAAAAAACCTTAATACATTTTTACTCTAAAATAGTTTGGGGAGCCAATAATCGCATTTTATGAATTTTACATTGAAATCCCTATGATGCGTTACGCAAGTCACCACCCTGTATAGTCAATTTCTGCTAATCTTTAATAATCAAATTTGGGAACAACATTTCCTGCAAAAAAAAAAGGATGTATTATTAGAACTACCACGTTCGTTTAAGCTTAGGAGCCGCAGTCATCCACTCCAATCATTATGGTGTTGTTATAGTAGCGTTCATTGGAACTTATGCATAGAATAAAACAGACTTAAAAAATGAGTTGGAGGACTATCTTTGTCTCACACAGTCTCGTTATCGTGATGGCCATTTGCTTTTGTGAAGAAACAATGTCAGGTTGAACGGTAATTGTTATAAACAAATTAATATACCTACTCGTAATAAAAATTTAAAAAAAAACGTGCCATTGTTTGCGTCTGTGTGTTCGTCCCGGAATTTTTTGCTATAGGGAGCCTATATGTTGAAGGCGCACCCCGTGGCCTTCAAATTTTGTTGTAAGGACAAATTGCCTGTAGAATCCAAAAATGAAAAAAAAATAAGAGGGTGTATCTAAATGTAAATTGTATGGACAGGAAAATACTATTTGATCCGTTTTTTACTCATAATATCACCCTCCAAAATGTCATGTCAATTCTGCCAAAGTTACAGAGGTAAGTGTAGTTTCGTTTATATATGTCGTAGTCTTTTAGTGAAATCCGTCATTTCACAAAACGCCCAGTCATTTATATATGAAACTGTGGAACAGTTTACTTTCCAGGACCAAGCGATTGGATTCCCTTCCCATTAGAGATCGATAAATGGTATCCTTATCGATCTAGAAGGGGAAGGGAAATTACCCCACACGTACAAATTTTCAGCGTTTCACTAAATGACTAGGCCTCGGACTAGGCGTTTCGTGAAATGACGGATTTCACTAAAAGACTACGACATATACACACTGAATATGGATAGAATAATATAATCCTATTCATTTCTTTACGTTTAGGTGAGCAAATTACTACTTTTGTTTGATTTTATGTGCAGCTGGTACCGTACAAGGTCTGGTAGAAGATCTAAAACGTGGTATGGAAATAACAAAAAACACTAATTACCCTTCTGCGGCCATAACATCTAGTTGCGAATTATTCAGGAGGTTTATCACATTATCCATTAACGATAGCAATGTAAGTAGTACTTAAAGAAATATCAATTTGAAGAGAGAAATATTGTTTTATAGACTTTTGCTCAATGTCAGAATGTTATGTTGGACAGAGGAAACTTGTTCTTAAATAAATTAAATGCATCTAGGGATAAAATCAAGAAGCTGGCTTCGCAATTCATTATTGATGGCTGTGTAGGTAAATTATTAAAGCTGTTATTGTATGTATAATTTTGGTTCGTAGAGAATTTTAACACATTCAAGGTCCAGAGTTGTGCTCCATACTTTAATAGAAGCAGCTCAACAAAATAAATACTTTGAGGTATTCGTTACCATGTCTGCGCCTGATGATAGTGGGTAAGTGCCACTTATACACTGCGTTCAAAATAAGGATGTCTATCATGGGCATCTCTGGAGTCATAGAAGATACAACGCTGATCAAATTAGAGAAAAGTTACGCAATTAAACAGTTATTCAGCCCTGTGATGTATCACTAACGTTAAACTTGTTTTGAAAAAAGTTGTATTGAAAATGGTTTTGGAGATCCCCATGATAGACATTCTGATCTTGGACACAGTGTATAAGTATGCGAAGTTATTTACTGATATAGTTTACCCCAGAATGACGAAGAGTTATAAGTCATTGTGGGTATAAAATAATGTGGGGTATTATAAAATGGGACAATAGATGCATTAGTAATATTTATTACTTTTCCTCATTTTGAAATGCAATAAACATAATCAAACTGTTTTTGTGTCATGTAAAGTATACTCCGTTCAATAGTTATTGTCAGTGGTCGAAGTGGCAAATATTTTTTACCGGTATGGCTGAACTGATAAAATCTTAGTATTGTATGTATGCGTATATTATCATGAAAAAACTTTATCCGTTATGCCTATGTGGATAAATTTATTACCGGTATGTTTCACAAAAACCAAAAATCTATCGGTATGCCATACCGCCGCATACCGCCTCACTTCGACCACTGGTTATTGTCCCAGTAGTAAACCATGTTAGGGTGATGAAATTCGCTGTGTATATGTGCTGTCACTCATTAGGTTATGTCCATTTTATGCAAAATGATAATTTCCTGTCAATGTGCAAAACCTAGTTGCCAGATTTAGTTTTGGATTTTGTGGTAATTTTGTTATAGGTTAATATGTATAAATTTCATGAGAAACAACTTGCTCAATACATTTCATACTTTATTGAGTAGGCAAATGGCTCTAATGAACATTATTAATTTCAAAAGGCTGTTATATATGAACTTATTTACAATTATATGCTTAGTTAGCAGGTCGCTGGTGGTGATCTTTATGAATGAAACATTTCCACATTTAAATGCTGTTATGCTGGTCTAAACTTCGAGCAGCTTTAGTCTGGGGCTGGATCAGCTTTGGGAGATGTGTGGTGTAGATTCCCAGAAGATAACCACTGCTCGATAAGTCAGTACCATCGTACCCGAGATGCCCTCAACGACCTCATTGATACCTAACTGCGCTTGAGTATAGTTCTTGCTTCCTCGGTGCCATTGGAGTGTTCTTCCTTGGATCTTTTGTTTTTCGTCTGTGCTGTTTGATGATTAGTACATTTCTGTTAATCTTATTTCCGGCGGGTAGCTTACTATTCTTTGGGGAACAAAACAAAACAGTAAAACGCTTCCCTTCTGATTTAATTTTAGACGGATTACTTTTAATTTCAGAATCGTGTACCCATTTTAGTACGCTGGATTCATTTGAAAAATCCAAGTCTTCCAAATACACGGATGTTATATTTTCATTTGAATTTTGGTATTGCAAGAATTTCCTCAAAAATGTAATTTTAGATGCAACAACATGTTTCTGTTCACAGAGAATTTTACGTCCATTTACGTGTTTGTATTTATAACCCATGGATTTTAGAATGTTATATAAAGTAGTTTTCCCGCGCGTCCCTTAGTAAGTCAGCCAAAGTAAAGTTTTCATTTTTCGAGTGATAATTCCAAATCAGTCGTTGCAAATCTTCCCGAAATGAGAAATTTTTATATATGATATCAGTTTTAGGTCGTGGGCCAAAGGTTTCAATTCAAAAGTATCCATCCGGATAATTCTTTCAATGGTTTTTTCTGATACCTAGAATAGTACAAACCCCAAAATTAGACCGAAAGTTAAGTTCAATGCATAAATACTCGCATCCCAAATGTTACTAAGCTGGGCTAAGATTTCCGCTTTCCTTAGGTCTGGCCTGTCTGTTTTATAATGTCTGTAGGCTTTTAAAATTTGCATTTTCGCATCTGAGTTTATGATCTTCGGTATATTTTCTTAATTATAAATCACAATTGACTAATACGTATCCATGACGCTGATATACAAATATATCCGGCTTTATGGTTCAGTGGTAGAGCGTTGGACTATAAATCCGGAGGTCGGGTGTTCGAACCTGGGTTGAGGTAAATCTTTCATCTGTGACAGAGATGGGAATTACCTTAGACCAGTTTCGAGCATTCTGCCAACTACTCCGAATTAGGTTTTCCTGCAGTTTTCCTAATTCGTAAAGTAAATACCGGAGTAGTATAGAACAACTTAAGACCTTCTGCAGAGGCACCTCTAAAAAGCATTAAGGCCGAAACCCATTGGCAACACGCCACGCCACGCTACGCCACGCCACGCCATGTGGCATAGGTTCACGTGGGATAGTTTGTGTACATATTTGTAACACGCCACGTGATGACACGCTTGTCATTTTATTTAAAAAATTGGCAGTAGTAACTTTGAGTGCGATGGACTACACTAGCGCAAGCAGTTCGTCTAGTGAGAGTTCTTTAGAAGAATGTGCTGCTGCTGCCATCGTTTTGAATCAGAAAAAAAAGAAGATTCTGGGTGCACAAAATAAACCAAAACCGGGAAAAATATGCTGCTTTTCATGTTTTAATGAGAGAGCTGGAGGCAGATCGTAGTCGATACCATATATTTCCGTATGGACAAAGAGCAATTTCATTATCTACATAATCTTGTGAAAGATAGGATTAAAAAGTGAAATACAACATTTAGGAAATGTATTTCTACAAAAGAACGACTGTTTACCCTATTATTGTTTTTATTGTGAGGGTATATTAAAATAACGATCCCCGCTTTTTGGACAAATAAAAATCATTTGTCGTTTAACTTTGAATTTCGATTTATCAGTTATTTTGTTATGGATTTGTGTGTATTAAATCCTCTAATACCTAAACCTAACTTTCCTTTTTTAATTACCATATTTAAAAACGTTCTACTCATTCGTTAAAGACAATTGCATGCTTAATAAAGCATTTTAGGTGATTTTCTACTTGTTCTGTTCGCCATCTATCGGCAACATTCCCGCGGAATACCCCTCTTAAATAAAATAAATACCGAAACAGATTGCCGCGGGAGTGGAGAGGCGACCGGGGAACATTCACACGTACCAACACGCGTCGGTCACATCTGAGGGTTTTGAATTGTCACACGTGAGGTGGCGTGGCGTGGCGTGGCGTGGCATAGCGTGTGTCAAGTGTGTACGCGGTACATGTAAATAAATGGATGAATATACGCATACATTTTCGTCACATGGCGTGGCGTGGCGTGTTGCCAATGGGTTTCGGCCTTTATGCGGGTCACTCTGTAATTGGGCGCAAGTCTGTTGAGGGCCCTGAACAAAAGAGGAATAATAAATAAATAAATATTAGGTCTAGTGGCAAACAAAGTGTGAAAGCACTGACAACATTGTACGTTTAATCTCAAATAGTCAAATTAGACATTCCTGTATTTCACAGCTGATTCTGATGAGTTTTAATTTTATTAAACATAAAAACAAAATTCCATGGCTACCTACTTGGACAATAACTATTGAACGGAGTATATATTTATACCAAAGGGACAAGTATAGGGTTAAGTACGATTGAGTCCTCACAGATGACTTATAGATGTTATTTCATAGATAAGTATTGACTATGTTGCGTTTATTGCTTACCAAAATACATAGTATTTCTTCAGAGATTTTGAAAATTCAAGTGCATTTGGAAATTCATTCGATAAGAATTATAAAATATATGGAATATACTAAACATATTTTTTGAGTTAATCCCATATGTCTGAAAATACAGGGTGATTCACAAACCTTTATGCTATATCCCAAAATGTTTAGTTCAAGTAAAATGCAAGGTGTTACAGCAAATTTCGTTGTTTTTTTAAAATTCTACTCAAGTGTTCTCAGTTTTATGACCTAACTTAATTTAGAACAGATACATTTGTTGAAATTAATTCATGTATGAAAAATCATACCCCATATAGATCTCTTCCTAGATTCCAATTTTTAATCCGAATTAGATTTGGTGGGGCGTTAAAATAGGATCACAAACCAATCCTTTGAAGTCATGTAGTAACGATCATAAGACCGTTAACTCTCTCGTTATTCCAAAGAAGTCGACATTCAATTTTCTTATTTTAAATGGAAAAGATTGTGCATATTTCGGGACCGAATTGAATCATACTATTGTTTTATTTGGATACTCAATGGCCTTCTGCATATCGACGAAAAACAGTTTTTTGTTTAAAGGCCAGTAGTTCCATTATTATGAGGATGTAAAAAACTGTAACGGAAAAAGTTTTGTTCATTTTCACCTAGATTCTTCTTACCCAGACTTCTCCGAGAGTAACTTTAGATCATCGAACACCCTAACAACTGCTTTGGTATTCCCTTCCCTTATTTCGTGGTTTTCCTTATCAGATTCCTTCTGACCCACACAATATTCTTTCGATCTCCGCAGTGTTAAATATGTGTAACAAAAACTCGTGTAATGAGGGCAAAAACGGACGCTAATTTTTTCAGCTCTTTCTTCTACTAGCTGCTGTGTTAGATTCTCTATTTTTTTCAGTCATCATTGCAACAACGCGCTCAAAAACAACGGAACCCCTGAAGCTGAAAATACATCGTTTATTGGTTAGGCTCAACAATTTTTAGTACTGGTTTTGTACCTGACTAGGTCTTCATTTTCCTCTTTGTTCTTATTGGCTCTCTTCCAAAATTCCATTGTGCTTCCTGTTTCAACAGCTTGTTAAGGGACCGCTTTCTTTGCATAATTTTTAACGTAGTTCCTAAAAGACGCTGACCAGTGGTTCCGGTAATATGGACATCGATCGTTCTTGTGAATCACCCTGTATATCCTTATCAGCCTTTAGTAATTTTATATGATTGGGATATTTAGGGAAAGGATGTACAACGATTTGAGAGAGCACAAAATACAATGTACTCTGATAACGGATGCTGCCATTGGGTACATAATGGAATCTATAGATTTTGTAATGGTGGGTGCTGAAGCAGTTGTTGAAAGTGGAGGTATTGTGAACAAGGTAACGTCCGCAAATGCACAAGGTCTACTATTACTAGATTACATTAAATGGCTGTTACAGATTGGCAGTTATACAATGGCACTGTCTGCAAAGGCTATGAACAAGCCGTTTTATGTACTAACAGAAAGTGTAAAGTTCTCTAGGCTATTTCCATTAAATCAAGGTGATTTACCTGACGAATATAAGGTAGGTGTGAACATAAAAATTAAAAAATTATGTAAAGCCATTTTGTATTTTGCAGTATTTATCAGTAAAACGTAGCGGTGATTTAAGCAAAGAACATCCACTCGTTGATTATACTCCTCCTTCTTATATTACGCTTTTATTTACAGATTTAGGAATTTTAACACCTTCAGCTGTAAGTGATGAACTTATTAGATTGTATCTATGATTTGTAAATCAATAAATGCTTTTCGTTATATCATTTTACGTAACACTCCTCTATATGTTTAAGAAACAAGAATAATTTTGCTTACTATATGACGTGTTGAGGTTTATTAAGCGCCAATTTATTGCCGAGATGTTAAACTAAATGACCTGCTCAGTATTTAAGGCCGATTCCCACGTAGCAGCGCTTCAAAACACATACTTACGGTTTTCATTTAGTCCCTTGCTATTTCCCTTTCTTACTGTTGTATTTTGTTACAAAAAATTACAAGAAATACTTAGAACACATTTTATAATGAATATTACATTTAAAAATCTCTTATGACAGATGCCTACCCTGATATAAATACAACATCTTCCTTTTTTTTTTTTTTTCTAAAACAAACAAATCAAAACAAACTTAAAACAAAACATTATTATGAGATTACATAAAATAATCTTTAAACTTATTCGGTAATTTAACAATCCGACCACTGTTGTTTTGTTTAATATTAGAATCAGGAATTGGGTCATTTGAAGGATCAATTTCACAGGTGGTTTGATTGTTAATAGTTTCTAAGTTATTATCAGCGGTGTTATCAGAAGAACGATCCATATTTTGAGTTTGATCATGATCATTTGAGCAGTTTGATGAGTTGTTAATTTCAAATTTTGTATTAGTTGGTTTTAGTTGGCTAAAGTTTCTTCTAACAACATTGTTCTTATTATTAATTACATTAAAAGATCTAGGAGTGGAATGATTACCAACTACTTGTCCTTTTTCCCAAAACTGGTCTTTTATAAGAACATTATCACCTGTTTTCAAATTTTGGTTAAAATTTTTTGCACTTTTATCGTGATTTCGTTTAAAATATTCCTGTTTGGCTAAAAGTTTTTTATGTGCATCTTTAGGAATTACGGGTTTTAGTAATTGTGTGTGAATAGGAAGCTTGGTTCTGGTTAGTCTGTTCATGAGCATTTGACTTGGCGATATACCAATACCCGAAACGGGAGTATTTCTAAACTCCAATAATGCGAGGTGGATATCAATATTGTCGTGAGAACATTTCTTGAACATTTGTTTAGCAGTTTGAACTGCACGTTCTGCTTGACCATTACTGCGTGGATATTTAGGAGAACTTGTGCAAAACTGGAAATTCCACTCTTTGGAAAAATTCTTGCATTCAAAGGAAGAAAAAGGCATATTGTCACAAATTACTGTGTTGGGAATACCAAACGTCGCGAACAATATTTTGAGGTGTTTAATAATTTCTGATGAGGTTTTGTTTTTTAATAGAATGATCTCGAGCCATTTCGAGAAATAATCTTGTACAATAAGATAGCTATTACCTGCATAATCCATTATATCACAAGCTATTTTATAAAATGGTATATTTGGTATCTCATGTGGAATCAATAAATCCCTTTGTTTAGCATTTTGGTAACGTTCACAAACATAACAATTAGATATCATATTCTGTATGTTGCTTGACATGCCTGGCCAAAATACAATTTGTCTAGCACGTTGTTTGGTCTTAACAGTACCAAAATGAGGTTCATGAAGAAGCCGTAAAATATAGAATCTTAGTTTATCCGGGCCTATTAACCGGTGGTTTATAAATAACAAGCCATCTTCGACAGATAATTCTGCTTGAAACTTATAAGTATTTAATTGAACCGTCCATTAGTTCATTACTTTTAGGCCAGCCATTTATAATATAGAACATTACCTTTGACAAAACTGGATCATTGGCAGTAGCCTGTATAAATTCCAACCTTTTAGCATCTGAAATATTTAAATTTTTGCTTAAAGTATGAACAGTTTCAGAAATCCATTGATCATCACCTTCGCTCTCTGGAAAATTTAGGTAAAATCGTGAAAGCAAGTCGGCAATAAACATATATTTTCCTGGCAAGAAATTTAACACTATTTTATATTTAAGTAATTTTATTCTCATTCTTTGCAAACGCGATGAGGCGATATCTCCAATTTTTTTATTCATTAGAGTTACCAAAGGTTTGTGATCAGTATTTACCTTTATTTCGCGACCATAAATGAAGATATGAAACTTGTTTACTGCAAAAACAATAGCGAGAAGCTCCTTCTCTATTTGGGAATAATTTTTCTCACTAGAACTCAAACTACGAGAAGCAAATGAAATAGGTTTGTCATCCTGAAGAAGACAGCGCCCCAGACCATCTTTGGATGCATCGGCTTGTATGGTGATTTTTTTAAATGCATCAAAGTTAGCTAACACTGGAGCATTAGAAATTATGTTTTTAATTTTATGTATCACAACCGAGTGTGCAGTTAACCATTTAAATTCAACTTTTTGTTTTAATAATTCACGCAATGGAGAAGTTATATCGGCTAAGTTCGGTATAAACTGTCGCAAATAATTTATCATTCCTAAAATACTTTGCAGTTCTTTTACATTTGTGGGATCTTTTAATCCTTTAATTGCTGCTATTCTGTTTGGATCAACTGACATTCCATCCTCCGAAAAGATATGACCAAAATAATTAACTGAGGGTTGCTTAAATTGAACCTTGCTAGGATTAAATTTAACTCCATTTGCAGTAGCTCTTATGATCACGGAATTTAAAATTTGATCATGTTCCTCGGAGGAATCGGCAGCTATCAAGAGATCATCAATGTACACTTGAACACCCTTCAAGTTTCCAAAGATTCTTTCATTAATGGCTTGAAAATATTCTGGAGCCATATTAAGCCCAAAAGGCAAACGATTAAATTTGTAACAACCAAAGTGCGTAGCAAATGTACAAAGATCACTAGACTTTTCAGTAAGTTCTACATGCCAAAAACCTTCCTTTAAATCGAGCACTGTAAAAAACTTTTTACCTTTAAGGTTTCCAATTATATCTTGAAGAGTTGGAATAAGGACATATGCGGGTCTTTTAATTTCTAAATTTAAATCACGAGGATCCAAACAAAGTCTTAAGGAGCCATCCTTCTTTTCAACAATTACGATATTATTAACCCAACCAGATGGTTTATCAACTTTTGAAATAATTTTTCTATTTTCTAAGGATATCAAGGTTTCCTTTAATTTGTCACGAATAGCAAATACCCCTAGGAGGGTTAATGACCGGTATGGCTTCATTATTTATTTGGATTTCACATTTATCCTTAAACTTACCCAGATCTTGAAATAATTCTAGATTATTCTTAATAAATTCATCCTTAGTCATAAACTTACCCAAGGCATCTACTTTGCGTGCAATAAGATCTAACTTAGTACAAGACTCAAGTCCTAATAACGGAGAAACAATTTTGTCTACAATTATGAAGTTATCAGTAAATTCAACGTTGTTACACTGAACTTTTAGTGGAACAATGCCAAGAGATTTTAAGACAGTACCACCAAATGCCTCCAAAATTATGTTTGTATTTTGTAACTGAGACTCTGGAACACCTACTTCACTTAACATTTTACGCGACAGGACATTCACATCTGCACCAGTGTCTAGTTTAATAAATTTAATAGGCACATGATGATCACCAACGTTTACATTTTGAAACCATGACTTAATTGACAAAACCTTTTTGTTCTGATTTCTTACCCCAATGCTGTTAATGGTGAACTCCAACTCGTCAGATTGCTCATCCTGTTCTTGTAGCACCTTCACATTTTTTACTTGACAGGAAACTGCAAAATGATTTAACTGTCCACATTTATTGCAACTTCTCCCAAAGGCAGGACATTCACGAACGCCATGAACAGTCTGACATCTTCTACATTCAAACCTTTCACTACTCGTTTTGGAAACAGACTTATAATTTCGGTTTGCTGATTTTTTCTTAATGACCTCAACTTCTTATAATTAGGTTCAGCCGTTCAACAATACACTTATTTGATGTTTCGGAACCTATACTTCTTGAAAACTTTGCTCAGTTTAATAAACTAACTGCCTCGACTGCGCCATGTTGTATTTTGTTACAAAAAATTACAAGAAATACTTAGAACACATTTTATAATGAATATTACATTTAAAAATCTCTTATGACCGATGCCTACCCTGATATAAATACAACACTTACCTAAGGTTTATTACTTAGGTCATATAGTTCTAGCCTCTCACTGACCAGTACAATTAGTTTTTCGATTTTTCCTTTCATTATCTAAAGCTGCGTACTGACTTTAGCAAATTTGCGCGTACGACCGCTATTCGTGTGAAATTGCTTGATGAAGGCATGTTTTAAAACTGAACTGAACCGAGCCGCTTGTTCCGTCACCAAAAAGACAAGGATAAAAAAAGGATTTTTGTATAGGAAAATTTGTACTGTAAAAATCTAAACTAAAATGTTTACACTGCTAAATGAATGTTGCACAAAAAGGCGGATATTTTTAGACAGCTATGCTTTTGAAAAACTCCGCTTCCTGGAAAACCCACGCATGGACCATAATCGGGGGGTCTACTGTAGTTTTTTAAATGTAGAATTTTAAAAAATTATTCACATCATTACACATTATACAGCACAGGTCGATTGGTTTGTCACCTTGGGATTGAGTAGGTGTTTGGCTGACACGTCTGTATTGAATCCGGGTTAGAGCATGGATTTTTGTAAAGCACACTTGACTGATTTGAACTATAAAAAAAAATAGTTCAAAATCTTGCTTTGTTTACATGTGAACAGGTTTCTCTATTCATGTGAAGATTTTCCATTCAAAATTAGAACATTTCAGATTTATTGTTTAAAAAGAGATGTTAGTGTTGTGCCAATTTGCACAGTTGGTACAATGTATAAAAAATATTAGCTGAATTGACTACATACAAATAAAATAAAAAGATAATTACATACAATATGGCATGCAGATATGCATAATATAGGTATCACATCACAGTAAAAATTTTAGCTTATAAATAATTAAAAAAATTGACTATACATTTTTTGTTACAATACTAGTTACAATTTTACAAAAATGATACTTTATAAGCTTGACATAATGTGTCTACAACAGTAAAAACTTGTTCGAAATTGGGCCGATTTTCGGGTTGGTATTCCCAACATCGTAACATCAGACGATACATTTCATCTGGAGTATTTTCAGGTGCTGGCAATCTGTACCCTTCAATTAAGAGAACTTTACTTTTAATATGAAGATTATATTTACCTACCTGAATCGATTTTTTCCCTTGCTTTGGAATTACTTAACCCACTATATGGAGTACTACCCTTTGAGAATATTTCCCAACATAAAATACCATAACTCCAAACGTCGCACAGTGAAGTGTATTTGCCTAAAATAAGAAGCATTTTTGACATATTATTCGCGGAAAACGCATACCGAAGTTGAGTGCTTCAGGTGCTGTCCATTTGATAGGAATTTGTTTCATGCCATCTGATACGATATACTCTTCTTCTTCCCGTGACATGCCAAAATCAGATATTTTAACTGTATTTGTGTAACCTATTATACAAAGAGTTTTAGTTCTTTAATGGCTCTCTATTTAAAATGACGTGCAGCTTAAATAAATGATATCTATTGCCGAGATAAATGTTGCCATGAATCTGAAGTTCCAATTAATATCATTTTTACAATACAAATTCTCATGAATAATGTCAGCCATCGTCAGATCTTACCTACAAGACAGTTACGAGCCGCCAGATCCCGATGAATGCAATTTTTCGATTCTAAATATCGCATTCCAGCAGATGCATCTAAGCACATATTCATCAATTGACCTTCCGTAAGAATTGCTGCATTTTTCCTTAAGTAAGTCAAAAGTGATCCCCCTACAAATTAAATTGGCGAATTAACTAATGTTAGTTAATGATAGAAAAGATCATTATTACAAAATTTAAACAAACCAGCACTCCATGTTTATGTACATTACACTAGGATTCGTGTCAGTCCAAACACCAAAGTCAATGACAATGGGTGGATAACTAAAGGTAAATATAAGGGTTTCATCAAGAAAATTGAAAAACCTCTTCGCAGCGTCAAGAAGCGGTCATGTGGATTTACACTACTATAAATTATATTACAAAATATATAAAAAAGTAATTAAGCTTGTAAAAAGAATTCACTTTCAAAAAATATTTACAAACTCAAAAAACAAGTAAGACGATGTGGCGTATTATAAACAGTACTCTACGTAGTAAAAATTATCCCGTGCGTACGGAATTTGACGTCGATGGCACACGAGTGATAGATAAGGAAATTATTGCGAATTCATTCAATAATTACTTTGTCAATGTTGCAAATACTTTTAAACAAAAACCTTTGCGCGATACGATCACTCCCGTGAATGAACTTGTAGCAAAGAGTCTCTATTTAAAACCCACGACAGAACCGGAAATAATTTGTATAATACATGAATTAAAAAATTCTAACTCAGAAGGTACCTACCGATGGGTTCTCAACTAATTCAATTAAACTCTGTGCACCATGCATTGCCAAACCGATCTCTCACATAATAAATACATGCTTCTGTACCGCTACATTTCCCGACCCTCTAAAGATTGCTAAAATAGTGTGCCTTTACAAATCGGGGGACCATAAATCGATAAAAAACTATCGCCCAATAGCACTACTATCGATTTTTTCAAAAATAATTGAAAAGTGCATTTCAAAGCGAATTATTGATTTTCTTGATAAACACTCGCCGTATTATCGAAAAATCAATACGGCTTCAAGAAAAATGCATCTACCTCTGATGCGTTAGTCACAATTTGCGACTTTATCTACACACACTTAGATAAAGGTAAAAAAGTTATGGCTGTGTTTGCAGATTTGTCGAAAGCGTTTGACAATGTAGATCACGCAATCTTGTTGGAAAGAATTGAGCACTACAGTATAAGGGGAGAGTGCAACAAACTATTGAAGTCCTATGTGGAGCAAAGGAGACAGTTTGTTCATTTCGATGGTAAAAACTCCTCCTTGCTTGTTAGTAATAAGGGAGTTCCTCAAGGGAGTGTTCTTGGTCCATTATTGTTCATACTATATATGAATAATATGGAGCAAGTGGTTCCAAGTCGCCATGTTGCATTTGCCGATGATATAACCTTATTACTTGCTGAAGAAACGGAATCGAAGGCAGCTACTAAAGTTAAAGGTTCATTGTGCAACCTCTCTCATTATTTGGAAGAAAGCAACCTAGTTCTTAATTCACAGAAAAGTTTTTTAATGCAATTTTTTGGAGAAACAGCGTTGCCTCAAAACGAATTTTTATGCTACAGAAACGGGCGATTCGAAATATGTTCAAAGCTGACTACCGCGAATTATGTAGAAAGTTGTTTTTGTGTAATCATATATTGACGTTGCCATGTATCTACATACTTACCACATTATGCTTTGTAAAACAAAACATTGAGAAATGTCCTAAGCTCAATGAAACTCACAATTATACCACGAGACATGGCGCTAACCTGCAGTATAAACTTCATAGTCAGAATTCTATAAATCAAACCCATTTTATATGGGGGCAGTACTCTATAGTAAATTAGATCCACAGGTAAAGGCTTTAAAACAAAACAAAAGATTTAAAAATGCCGTCAGACAGTTATTAATAAAAAAAAACGCATTCCATTCAATCCAAGAGTACATGGAGTTTGTATAAAGTAATGTCATTGTGATATTGTGTGTTATATACAGGGTGATTCCTATAGTACCTGCCACCGTTTGGGAGCGTATAGGGGGTGCCTAGGGGAAGTCTTTTCATATAGGACACTTGGGGTCGGAAATCCAAAATAAGGGCGCCAGAACCAAATTTATCTTCTGGAATTTCACGCCTGTATGTAGGCAACCCAACCGACCGACGTTTCGCGCGGAGCGATGCAGAGCGAGTTAGCGCGAGGAAGCGACATGGGAGGGAAGGAGGGAAAACGACAGTCAAAAGCAATAACGTTTACAAGTGTTCAACGTGGCCACCGTTGTTCTCAATGCACTTCCTACATCTAGCCAACTATTATTATACTATTGCCATAGTGTTTATTCACTTGATACGCGTCGTTGCAGACGGGATTTCGTGGGTTTAAACAAAATTCTGATCAAGTGTCAGCCACACATCGCCGCCTGAGATCGCTCCGTGTGCACCGCCGGCCGGTTGGGTTGCCTACCTACAGGCGCGAAATTCCAGAAGGTAAATTTGGCTCTGGCACCCTTATTTTAGATTTCCGACCCCAAGTGTCCTATATCAAAATACTCCCCTACGCACCACCTACACGCTCCCAAACGGTGGCAGGTACTATAGGAATCACCCTGTATATATATATTAATATATTAGTCTGTGATACTTGCTGCACGAAATTATTTGAAATGTAGATGTTATGCTTGTAGTGTTTGTGAGCCTACTGTAATCTTATTTTACTTGATGTATCCCATGTTTTCTGTATAAAGCCGGTTGGACAAATAAATATTATTATTATTATACATCCAGGACAAATTGTTTACAAGAGGAAATCAGTCTGTGTTGCTGTTAGCCTCTTTACAAATCCAGGTTAAGGGAGGGAGTCCCAAGCAAGAGAAAAATGGGCAAAAACACAGAAGTCCATGAAGAGCATAATGTAGCGCCATTAAAGATCAGCGATAAGAAACTAAGGCGGATGTGGCGCATTCATTACGAGAAATGTGACGTGTTTTGTTCTACAGATCATTCGGAGTGATTGTGAAACATCTGCCTTTGCTATATATAAACGATATTAATCTATTTCAACACTTACAAATTTAATAACAACATAATTAAATAATTAGTAGAAAGTTATTTGTCAGAGGGTTCAATCAAGAAAGTCTTAAGATATTAGTAGAAGGATATACTTATGTGGAGTGTCGCAGGCAGGAATCAGCGGAATGGACGCTATCAGGAGCTGATTGGAGTAAGAATTCCAAAGAGGATATAACTAATTGGCTATGGTTATCTGAGAGAGTATACACTACTACGGCCAATATAGGTGAACTCCGAATGTATTGAATGATTGTCTGAGGTACAAGGCGTCCTATTAATAAAGGTCACATCCCATATTTACACCGCAAAAGAACGCTGATGGTTTTATAAATCCTGACGTTATAACTCCTAGTTTAAGCATACTATTTGCACAATTGGAAGTTTAAAGGTCGCCATACACAATGCTGTTTACCGGAAGGCAGGCCTGCAAACCTGAAGGCAAACCGTAGCGTTAGTGGTTATATTGGCAGGAAGACCCTTATTCTATGTCTACAACAACTCTTTTTGCATTCCCCTGCTCCCTGACGCTCCATTTCAATTGAAGGAACAGTTAGTTGTATACGGGGTGTTAAAACTCGATGATTCTTTTGTAATAAACTAATAAACCTGTATTTAAAGAAAAGTAGGTGTCCCAAGACCCAAGTTGTAACCCAAAGTTGACATCTGGGGCCTATAACACAAGCCGTAGAAGTCCTACAATTGTTAGAAATATTTTACACTTGTAGCGTTTTAATAACACAACTCATTTGCAAATACCGAATTCATTTGGACTTGTAGTTATAGTTACAGGCAGTACTTGTAACTTGTAGATTTCTTACAATTGTATAGTTTGTGTTATAGGCCCCAGGCATGTTGGTATAGAAAACTTCTATTTGTAGAACGTATATTCAACTTGAGACACGCTTATTAACGAGCTCCTAGCGAGTTTATAATTTTGCGGTGTCTGTCCATCCATTAGCACGATATCTCGATAACGAATGGACCGATTACGATCAAATTTATTAGATGGATTCTTTATCAAATTTGTAGATCGGAGTTCGTGAATTGGCAATGTAGTCCAAAAAATAAGGAATGCCCTTTTGACATCTCCGTGAGTTATGAACCGAATTGCATGAAATTCAATATGTGTATAGCTTTAGCCATATAAAACGCAATTCCAAAAATTGAGCCTAATCGATCAACATTCACAGCATCCTTTTCGCATCTCGATTATTTGTAAACCGAATTGCAAACTATTTTATTTATGGAGGGATTTAAATGAAATTTGATGCATAGCCACTTGGAATAAAAGCAAATTTAACGCCAGTTTCAGAATTTGGTTTTGCGCATGCTATAGCCATACCCAGGAGCTCGGTTTCTATATTTGTTTAATTTATTGTTTTTAAAAATGAAATTCGGATATCGGAGACAATAGAAAAAATTTATTGTAATAAAAGGGCATTATAGGTACGAAATGATGCAAATTTCATACAAGCTTGCGATTTACCTATGTATTTTTTATGGATGTTTGTTGGGTATATTTTGGGAAAAAATCATTTTTCTGTTTAACCATGAATCTTACGCCCTTCAGTGGCAAACCAAGAAATTTGAAAACAATTTCCAAGGATTTCTATGGGCGTCTTTTGTTAACAAAATCTTTTTCCCCAAGTTTTGCAATTAAGTGCAACCATTGAGAAAACTAGAGTCATTCGTATATAGACACATATGTCTACAAAAAAATTGGAATATTACTCGAGGGCACTTTGATTAAGACCAAGCGTCAGATATTATAAGTTAGAGATCAAAAGGTTGTGGGTTGATTATGGATAAATGTTAATATTAATCCTTATTAATCCTTTATCTCTATATATAAAAATGAACCCCTGTTTCTTCTGGTCACGCAATAACTTTACCGATTTCAGTCATCTTTTTTTTAAAAGTTTTATAATACTGTGTACAAGGTTCTTATACGGCAAGAAAAACAAGAAAATCGCGCAGAAAATTGGAGAAAACTTACGGACTGTACACGTCTGCGTTGTTGGCTTAACGTTTTCCCGCCACGAATTTTTTTAATTAGTTCGCATGTTTTCCGAGGGACTTGTTTGCTTGGTGGAACTGTATTTAAACATCGCGGGTTTGACTGTGCGACGGCAACTGTTTTAACAGCTACATTGTTCGGCAATGGATCGGCATATATCCGTCAAAAAATTTATCTATTCATATCATAGTGTGCTGTCAATTCGATCGGATAGTTTATCCAGATTTCAGTGAGTTTTTTGAGAAGTTTCGAGGTTATTGCACCGCAATCACGCCTTTTACATTAAAAGTTTGATATACCTAATATCCATTTTTGGTAAGTGTTGAATGTTACACGTGGTATACATAGTTACCTATACAGAAACACACGAACTTATAAATTAAGACAGTTTCTATTTTCAGTTGAATTTCAGTTTTTTCAAGATGCTACTACTATGTACCAACATGGTACCAACTTAAGTCGCAGAATTCGTAATCCTACAAGTCAAACATATATACGAGTACTTAAGTCAAACTCAAACTGACGAGAAAAGCTAAGCGCGAAACGAAGTTAACGGAATCGATATGAACAACTCAAAAATGTCCCCTTTAATCCCTATCGAGTTGCATTTAATTATAACGTAGCAATCAATTACAGTTTACAGTAAATCGTTGCTATTAGACCTATTAGAACTTTGTGTGTACACATTGTAAGGCTTTTAAAACTGACGCCCCGGAATTATGTTGCGCCAGTGGCCAAGCGAAATTGACGCCATTGGTACCGCCACCAGAGCCACTACATTCTTTTTCGGAAATGGGCCAGATTCTATACATTTTTTTACTCATATCCAGAAATACAACAATTGCTTTCAAATTACGGCATTTGGCGCAGCAAAAAAAAGGTACGTTGCTAGCTCTGAATCGCCAAAAGCAACGTAGAAGTGAGTGCGTTTATTTTTTATTATTTTGGGGAGAGATGGGGAGATTTTGGGGCAAGTGTGTCAAAATCTCTTTTCCGGCTAAACGGTTGAACCGATTTAAACCAAATTTGCTACACATATTCTTAGACATAAAAGGGCAGAATCGCGCATGCGCAGGTGGGGCGGGTGGTACCTGTGCTAGCCACAGCAAATTTTTGAAATAATTTTTTGTAATTATTTATTCCAGTCCGAATTGAATAGCTAAGAAAGAGGAAACCGTCCGTCGGTCGGGTCAGCTATACTGCATTCATTACAAGAAGGTAGTAGATGGCGCTGTGTTTGAAGATAAACACACACAGGAAAAATACAAAACGGCACCAAATTATTGTAAAGTAGAAATATTCAGCACTGCGAATAGAAATAAATTTTTCACAATAACAACTAATGACACTTCGGCAGTTTAGTTGGCAACATAAACTTACTACCCACTTGCAAAATTCACCAGTCGTTTTATGTTTAATTGTAATACTGACTCGTGTTTTAACCAATCGCAGTGAAGGTCAAAGCTTCCCTATGCTTTTCATCGCTACCTTCTTAAAATGAATACAGTCTAGTTGATTATAAAAGTAAAATGTAACTTAATGCACGGACGATCGTCAGTTGTTGCTAAACAGTAAGCACACCACTTTTCTTGTTGGTCGAGTACCATACTGCGCTCGCGCGCACTTCTCCATTTTTACGTGATCGTCTTTCGGTACTTCAACAATGAGTACATGCAAATAGTTGCAGATAAAGCTCTCAAAACTAAGGACTTACAGAACATATCTCTATTCCTATGGTATGGGTATGGCAAGCAACAATAATCCCATAAATTCACGTCGCTGTAGGCTTATCAGGGTACGATTGTACGAATAAAAAGATTGTCACGCTGGCTTTGGCAATGTGAACGTAGGGCTTGGTTCAGCTATATTCAGCGCTGACACAGCTGTTCCCAGCGCCAAATTTCAGCCGATTAACTGAGGTGAGGTGAGGTTATAAATTAACTCTCACGGTACCTACATGCGTGCTTTTACTCCCATCTTCTGCTGACTATTCTAGCGGAAAGTATTTTCGCTAGAAAAAATGGCGGACGCTGTTAAGCGCCAAACGACCGATCTTGGTGCCACGACAGTCGACAGCAGTAGCCCGGCTGAACGCGCCCAATGTTAGTTCATGTGAAATCGCATAATTGCAATAAATGAAAGAACGTGATTTGACAATCCAAACACGTTTGGATCACCAAAAGAAAGCGCCTATTTTTAGCTAAAATAATTCAATCGAATTACGTCCTACATCATATTTCCAAAGCCAGTTTGACGTTGATTTTATTTCAACGCTCGTTAGAAAAAAAAATGACAACAATGTTGAGGTTCATTTCGTAGATATAGGTACCTACCTGGAACCAACTCCATAACAATCATGATTGGCTGCTTCTGCACACAAATTCCGATAAGTTTAACAATATTTGGATGATCATACTGCTTTAAAATTCTGCCTTCCTGTAAAAATTTCTTCTTATGCTCTTCAGGTAGTGTAACCCTACAGGTTTTTACAGCCACTTCTTGATTGCTACTCTTTAGTTGTGCTTTGTAGACATCTCCGAAGTTTCCCTAAACTTACATAATCGCAAAAATGCTTGTGGCACACTATATTAACATACCCTTCCAATTTTGTCAAGTAAAATCACGTCGTCGTTGTTTAGTTCCCATCTCTCTCTAGGGATTGGTTTGTGTAAAATCGCACCAGACCTGCCGGTGACGGCCAAACCGCTACTAAATTGGTATAAAATTAATTCTCTAATGCTGGGAAAAGCAGGTCCCTCAAAACGGTAAAGGCCCTACAATTTATAAGAAATTATAATAAAAGGGCTTACTATAATGACATTACTTCTGCAGTAGTTTGAACAATAAAGTGTTTGTGCCCACCCCAGCATACAGATAAAACAGTTTGACATTCATCGTTTCTTGTCGTTTCTCTAACAAGGAAGTCCCCTTCCTGAGTGAGCAATCTGACTACTTCTTCTCTTGGTAAAACTCCATGAAACCATTCTTCATCCATTAGAGTTTTATTTGTGCTTAGAGCTACCTAACATTGAAAATTTTAATCATATCTTGGAGAAAAACCTAATGAGTAATTTCTATATACAAGAATTAAAATTCCTTAAGAAATTGAAGGATAAGCAATAAGCAAAATAATGAAGCATCTACTTAGAAGACTATGTTATAGATCAAGTCCTATAAACAGTAATGCAAAAATATTATTATGTTATTTTTATGAAATAAATTAAAAGCACCTACTGGATCTGACCCATCACTATGAGGTGTAGATTCACGCCGTCCCTTCGTGCGAGGAGGCGCCACAGGTGATGATGGTTCAGACTTTCTACGGAATGGCTTCTTAAGCAAGTTAACTATCTTCTGATGCCCCAAAGCTCTTTTTATCAAGGAAGGTTCTGTACCATCACCCTAAAATATTAACCAACACCTTCCCAAATGTATGTAAGAGATTTAAAAGCTCAGTCCAGTCAACGAACATAATAATTTTTTGTCCTTCAGTACTATTTTATTACTCCATCATTTATCTCAAATCTCAACATCTCATAATTTATTTATAATCAGTAATCACCTAAAGGGATTTGATTAATTTTGCAAAAAAAATGTTGTTCTTAGTGAAACACCATGCGGTCAACTTTTTACAAAGGGCTTTAAGAGTCTGATGTGATGCAGTGACTGCCAAGTTCTACTTTTTAAAAGTCCATCCCAGAGTGTTACAATACAAACGTAAGTATTTAAAATGTTATACAGGTTTCTTCATCAGCTCTTGTTTGTTTATTTTAATAATCGGGTCGCAAAATTAATCTCTGATGAAATAAATGAGAGAAGAGAGATAAAAGGTTATGTGTACTGTAATCTAGGAGTTCATTAATAGACAAATAAGCACGCAGGTTCATTGGTCCTCTGATAGGTATTCTTTGAAAACCGAATTATGTCTCAACCAAAAAATTTAGTGAGCAACATTTAAATTTAAAAATGGACAATGTTACAAAGGTGTACCAATATGAAACCGTTCTTTGACTGAACTAATTAGACAAATACTTAGAATGACAGAAATTAGTAATCATACTACAGACTATTTGCCATTTTCTAGTAAAGGTGCTGCTGTATTTCTTAAGCCAACTTAGAAATGTCAGTTATTTCCTAAGGGAAGTAGCAAACACTGTGTGCTCTATTGAAATGCATATAATAGAATAACTGTTATTTATGATTTAATGTATTTCATTGTATCAGTGTATAAAATGTGTTTCAAAAGTGTCATTGTAAAGGTAAGTAAGTGAATTTGCGCCGGTGCAAATTATAATTCAACACGTTGCCGTTAAAGCAAATTGAAACCTTTGTGTTTTTTAATTTGTCTTTTATAAAATTAATTTTATTCCTAACTAAGAACCAACAGTTATGGGATATTTAATTACCTAAAGCCAAGTTTCAGGGGCAGTTGAGATATTTTTAACAGCACATACATTATATACAGAAACAACAGATTGCTAACTTTATGCATTTCATAGGTAACAGGTAAAACACTTAGGTAATAGGTATACAGTGACTCTATAGTGACAGTGTGGTTATACAGTGGTGTTAATTTCTATTGGTAACGCAATGTTTTTACCAAATGCACCTGATTGGTAGAAAAGGTCACGTGCAAGTGTTTTTACAGTTTTTCCTGTTTCCATTAATATTGTCGATATTGTATTTGTTGGAAAGTCTTCTACAATACTAAGGTAGGTGGATACATATATCATTATTGTAGATTAAAGGATAGGTAATTTACAAATTACAGCAAAACATTGAATATTAAGTAATCAACTGATTAATACTACACTTTTTGTTGTAATTAAATGTTACATACACTTGTGAATAATTTGCAATAAATGAGTTCATATGGATACTTTTTGTAGTGTTTATAATAGTTGGATGCTCCGCTATTGGGTTTTCTAACAGAAGCGAGCAAGGATTCCTTATGAAAGTGTTTCCTAGAAACGCTCAAAGAAGAAAGCAATGGGTTGCTAAAGTTAGAAAGGAAAACTGGACACCTACAGACAGTGCGTTCCTTTGTGAAGTAAGTAAAATTAAATTCGTACTTAATCATATCTCTACCATGTTGCATTTTAGACACATTTTGAAACCGACATGTGGGACAAAACTAGAGTGGGATAGAAAACGAAAACTGAAACTTGCAAGTCAGAAAAGTAAGAGCAAATGTGTTTATGCGAGTAAATCCATTATGTTCTCAACAATGTAAATAATAAAAAGAAACACAATAAGGTCTTTGTTTTTTATTTCCAGTATAGCCTGAACCTGAAGGTTTTTTGTTCATTTGTCCCAGGTGTCACGTTTAAGCAACTGTTTCAAACGTAACTGATTTATGTAGGTACACAAAATAATGTTGGATTGATTTTATAGTTTTCTCCGTATTTAATCAAATGTCTATTACATGCACATTGAAGGTAATAAAATTTTCTACAAGAAAGCTTCAGTGCAAAATTTGCGTAAATCGCACCATTAGTCTATAAACACTCAAAATATGTGATTCTCCCATAAGTTTAATGATAAATTTGGAAAAAAAAATGGCGGATATGAGCATATGGCCACACTGTCTCTATAGAGTCACTGTATATACGTATACTTAAAAGCGCTTTCTATTCTATTTCACATCTAGCGCTTAAAACTGTAAAATCACACTTATGAATTTATGCATTAGATGTCGCTGCAAAAAAATTGATTCTATAGCTAAGGACCAGTTTCATAATCACGTAAAAGACTCCTTTACCTAAAGTCGACTTGATGTCCAAATTAAGACGGCCGTTACGGATAAACTCCTCCATTTCACGTGGACAATAATATCGACTTAAAAATTATAAATATCAATGAAATTGAAACTGCAGCTTGTAATGAATGTCATATGTCATGTCATGGAATTGTTTGTATTCATCGGCAACATTAATTTTTCATTAGAGTCGACTTTGGCCTGATTATAAAACTAGCCGTAATTTAGACATTCAGTTTTTTAAGGGCAATTATATCTAAGATTATTTATTTAATATGTGTTTTTTTTGTTTCTGTAGGTACCATTTAATATTCATTTATTAGTCAATATATTAGGTATAAGTGAAATAAATCGTATTTATTTACCTGTTCACTAGAATTAGAGTTAACAAAGGGTTGATTATCAATAGAAAGATCACAACCAGACGGCACTTCTTCACATCCCAGCTCATTTAAGGCACATTTGATTAATTCAGTTTGTTTCAACATTTTACGCTCTTGACATTTCAATTCATTAAGCTCTTTTTTACTGGTATCTACCAAGGACGTTTTACTAAAACTCATTTTTGAAACACGCAATAGTCAATCAACAACCTGTATACCTAGCACTTATATCATTATTACTACTTTTTCCATTATGTAATATTTCTTGATTTTGGGATGAAAAATTAGTCTTCTTTTCTTGAATATCCTTAATATTTGTTTCTAAATCAGATAGCTTTGTTCGTAACCATTCCACTGTAAGATTATCCACTGTTAATTGATTTGGCAGTAACTTTCCCGCATTTTCTTCAGTCAAACTCTCATCAAAACTAAATTTCACAGCTTCAGTTGGACTAGTTCTGCATAAAAGTGTTATAATAATTATAACAATAATAATAATAATAACAAATAATTTCAACGCAAACCAAGTATTGGTTACATCTAGGTGGACATGCCACTAGTTTTTCCTTATTATGTCATCACACAATACAATTTGTTTTAAAGAAACCTTACTTTTACGCTTGGACACCCAAAGAAGCAATGACATAAATCATTTCTAATTCTTGTTATGCAATGGATTACGATTTTATTAACTTAAATGACAAATACAAAGTCCGATAATGCAAACAAGGTGTTTCAATAGCGCAATTTATTATATTATCATTATCTAGTAATTATGATCGAAATTTTTATCAGCTTTATGAATAACCATAGTTTAGGATCCAATTAAAGTTAATAAATTAAATATTGTAAATAAAAAAAAACTTTAAAGTTTAAATAAACACTTTTCCCACCCAAACTTTAGGTAATGTTTGTTGGACATGACAGCACAAGTGGCTGTTGTAAAAATAACTGCTATAAAAAATACCTACTTACTTATGTTTCTCAGTGAAGTCATTATATTCTTCTGTATGTTTAATGGAATGTAAACTGCTATCAATTCGTTTATGAATATCTTTGTATTTGTCTGATGTGAAATCAGAAAAATGCGCCAGATCTTGCAGAAGTTGTCTCCTATAATACAACAAATTCGTTATCCATGTAAATTATGTAAATGACCTTACCAAGTTAGTACAAACCCCTCTTGAACGGATTGTTGGTATTCTAAAAGTCCTGGCAATAAAACAGTTCGAAAATCTTTTTCGAATTCGGCCGCTTCGCATAATAATAGAACATACTCGTTGTGTGTCAAGTGCAATTTTCTACATGCTTTTTGGTATTTATCTCGAACTTCGTCTAATTTTCGTCCTCCCCGTCCAGCTGTAAAGAAAAACCATGTATAAAGAACAACTAAAAAATATTCGCATTACTACGTCTTAGATAAAAATAGTATCTAGGCAAAGGACAGTAAGTTTGTCATTCCATAAATATACCATTTAACTGATTTAACTAAATAATTAAAGGCACAAAATCTTAACCTGTTACTCTCCACTACTCTCACTGTTTCGCGTTTTATCAAGATCCACGTTTTGCAAGTTTATGCAATTCGTTATGAAGCGGCATGTTATTTTTGTGACAAGTTACTGGCTCATTTTTAGTACGGAAAACGTAATCAATCAAGGTGAAATTTGTACTGCAAGAATGAGTTTGGGATGATGATGTGTCGGGAGTGCAAATCCAAATCTCGTTTTTACCTTTGAAACGCAATAATTACGTGGAACGAACACAATGTTCTATCTTTACTTTTAACGAACATACTTTCTAAGTCTACTAATTCTGTCATACCATATTTACTGCATTATGTAAAATTAAAATAATACCATACGCAATTCCCATTTCGCGATAATTACATTTTCGGTAGGTACCTAAACTGAATGGCAACATCGCTCCTACACCGAGTTGGAATCTGTTAGATAAGTTATAACCCCTAGGAGGGCCTAGAAACCACTATAGAATTCTGGTGTACAACCTCATGGAATTCTAATGACATTCATGGAATTCTTTTAGAATTGATGAAATTCATTAGGTATTCTGAATTTTTACAAGCTATGGTTTAGGTAGGTTGTGGTTTAGGTATTTTTTATTGATTTTAACATCTTTGACGTGATTATTTCTTACCGGTTTTTGCACGGAACTAAATTCATCTTTAACCGTCACAATATGCTACGTCAAGAGACGCGTCAAGTACCCCTCTCACCCGTCACGAGACGCTATGCGGAATGGCGATCTTTTTAAAGTGCATTGGAATGGAAATATCATATATCGTCAATGTGTCTTCGAAATTGACTCATGTGCACATTTAAAGTGTAATTTCGTGCACTATTTATCATTGTAAAGAAAGCCAAAGAAATCTTGAGCAGCTTTTTAAGGTAGCGAGGTGAAGCGGCGCAGCTATGTCATTGTGTTAAGCCAAATAATGCCATAAAAATTTAAATATTTCAAAAAAATACTTACGTGCACTTTTTATCATTGCGTGCAAAACTCATAGACATATGAGAATAAGGCAAAACCGAGAGTAAAACCAAAGAGATTTCTTTCAAGAACTTGCAATGCAGCCAGACAAAGCTATGCTCTTTTACGATAATATTCCTTTGAATTGTAATCATTGTAAAGAAAGCCAAAGAAAGCCGAAGTTGTTTTCGTGGGCGCCCTCAATATTTAAATATAATCCGTGCATGAGAAGGGCACTTTGGACTTCACGTAGATAGAACGTCGCAATTTAAAATTACAGTAGACTTAAGGTCACTTTGTATTTGAAAATTTATATCACAGATGGCGCCAATTCGTCTCATCTGTTAAAGTCACTCTATCTCTACAAAGTAGCACAATTGGTAAGGACAATGTGTTAGACAGATAAAAGAACTATTTGGAATTACAATGGCGGAGTGGCAATTCCCAAATGCATGTCAATGACCATTTGTCAGTTGTCACCCGTGGAATTCCACGTTTTTGTCAGGTTTTTATCGGGAGTAAATGCACATGAGCTTGATTTTTAATCAGATAATTTTATATTTACACGAAAACCAAAAACGGAAAAACCTAGATTAAAAGTGTGATAAAATCCCGACAGCTTTAGCTAGAGCGAGTTTATTTATATGCTTTTGATGACAGTTTTTTCCAGGAAGCAACAAAATTTAAGTGAATTAAAAATAAAATTATCCTGATTTAAAACCAAGATCGAGTGTATTTTAGGGAGATTAATAAAAGACAGTAAATTTGACAACCACTATACAGGGTGATTCCTATAGTACCTGCCACCGTTTGGGAGCGTGTAGGTGGTGCGTAGGGGAGTATTTTGATATAGGACACTTGGGGTCGGAAATCTAAAATAAGGCTGCCAGAGCCAAATTTACCTTCTGGAATTTCGCGCCTGTAGGTAGGCAACCCAACCGGCCGGCGGTGCACACGGAGCGATCTCAGGCGGCGATGTGTGGCTGACACTTGATCAGAATTTGTTTAAACCCACGAAATCCCGTCTGCAACGACGCGTATCAAGTGAATAAACACTATGGCAATAGTATAATAATAGTTGGCTAGATGTAGGAAGTGCATTGAGAACAACGGTGGCGACGTTGAACACTTGTAAACGTTATTGCTTTTGACTGTCGTTTTCCCTCCTTCCCTCCCATGTCGCTTCCTCGCGCTAACTCGCTCTGCATCGCTCCGCGCGAAACGTCGGTCGGTTGGGTTGCCTACATACAGGCGTGAAATTCCAGAAGATAAATTTGGCTCTGGCACCCTTATTTTAGATTTCCGACCCCAAGTGTCCTATATCAAAATACTCCCCTACGCACCACCTACACGCTCCCAAACGGTGGCAGGTACTATAGGAATCACCCTGTATNGGCACCCTTATTTTAGATTTCCGACCCCAAGTGTCCTATATCAAAATACTCCCCTACGCACCACCTACACGCTCCCAAACGGTGGCAGGTACTATAGGAATCACCCTGTATGTGTGTAGGAATACGTAATAGTTATTTACATATGAGTATGGTAAATCAAGGTTTACGTTAACGAGTGAGATGTTTACGCTGAGGCAGGAATTTCGAAACGAGTAACGTAAACTGATTTGACATACAAATAATGTAAAACATTTTATTTCATACTGCTCTATTTCTATTAAAATACCATTTTGATTAGAATGTTGTAGGTACACATTAAAATAAAAGCAAAAGTCGATCACTTGATTTGTTTGATGACAGTAGTTTGACAAATATCAATGCATACGTTTAGATGGATGTCAGTTACGGTTGCTAGGCAAAATTTCCAGTCTGGTAAAAATTTTCAGTCTGGTAAAATACGATTTACCAGACTCAAATCAGTCTGGGAAAGCGGCGATTACTAGATAGTATGAAATAAAATTACTTACCGATCTAAAAACAGAACAGCAATAGTATATTAAAGAACAAGTTTCATAAGTAGCTGTTTTATCGCACGTGTCCAGTTTGGAAAACGAGCCGCGTAGCGGCGAGTTTTCCAAAGGACAAGTGCGATAAAACGGCTTATGAAACGAGTTATTTATACTACTTTTTCTATTTCGCGTGATTTCTATTGTAAAAAACTAAAAATAGTTCAAAATTCTGTACTACTTCACATTAGTTGTAAATGTTAAGTTGGTAGCACTGGTTCGCTTTTTCAAATTGAAAATTTTGAAGTTTCAATTTTTGCGCAGATATAGCGAATTGCCATTTGGTACTGCAATTTTTGTGAAATAGAAATGGAAGAGCAGCACGAAATCATAACTTGCACGCCACCTGAATTGCGGGAAATAGCAAACAGTACCGTAGATAATTTGCTTCCGCAGAAATCGAAACTAAAATATGAAAAGGAATACCTTAAATTTGACCAGTGGTGTAAAGAAAATAAAGCCCAACACATTTCGGAGAATGTTTTATTAGCATATTTTGAATTACAAACTCATTTGAAAAAGCCATCGTCATTATGGTCAATGTACTCGATGCTACGATCCTACCTAAATGTGCATAAAAATGTAGATATATCAAGATACGTCAAGTTACAAGCACTGCTAAAAAGATTTTCGCAAGGCTATGAGCCAAAAAAATCAAAAATTTTAGATTTAGAGCAAATTAATCGATTTATTCAGGAGGCTGACGACAAGCATTATTTAGATACAAAAGTAAGTAGAATTTTTTGTTCTAGTGGGTAGGTAGGTACTAGCTACAGGAGTATCTTGTTTGTATTCTCGTTGTAGGTTATTTTAATAATGGGCTACAGTGGGGCATGCAGACGCGAGGAGCTGACTAATATGGCACTGGGCGACATCCAATATAAAAATGATATTGTTGTTGTATCGGTGCCTAAAACAAAAACAAATGTAATGAGAGAGTTTGTCATCACCGAGAAATTGTGGATTGATATTATAAAAAAATATAGCAGCATACGCCCAGTTAATACTTGCCATCAACGATTCTTTGTAACATACCGTAGTGGTCGCTGCATTACTACTTCGATCGGAATCAATACAATGGGCAAGACGCCACGAAAGATTGCAGAGTTTCTACAATTAGCCAATCCGGCACAATACACTGGGCACTGTTTCCGGCGTTCAAGTGTCTCACATTTAGCTAACAGCGGTAGTGACTTGGTCACCATTAAACGACATGGCGGGTGGAAGTCCTCCGCGGTTGCCGAAGGATATATTGAAACGTAGGTTCAACGAAAAGTGGAAGTTGCAGGAACTCTTGCCCAAGCAAGTAAATCATCCTCATCATTACATGGGATTCTTGCACAAGGATGTACATCAACACATGTAGAAAGTGCCGTTCCCAGTGCTATAGTTGAAGGAAATATAAATAGTGTCGAACACAACATCGTAACCCACAATTTACCTGGTATCAAAGTCATTACACATGATGGAGCTGTTACCGTCAAAGTGTACAATAATTGTACATTTAATTACGCAGATAAGGACGAAATCTAAGTTTGTTGTATTTACTTTATTATGATTAAAGCTTTCGTTGTGCAATTTTAGTTAGAAAAGTTTGGTTATGTTATGTACACAGTACGAATAAAAACCATCGACTATTAGCATTTGCAATGTTACCAACAGTTGAAAACAAAATCTATGCGGTGCGTTAATGGCTAGAACGATACGCGATTGCGTGCGGGAATGGAGCTATAAACAACGCGAAATAGAAAAAATATATTTTACGCATTCCTACACGCATTTTTATCGATGATAAAAAGTTACCTAGCTTTTAATCAGACTAAAACTATCTGATTGGTTAGAATTTGAAACAATCACCAAGCTGATTGGTCTAATATTAATGGAGGTTGTGTACCGCATTGCAAACATAGATTCGAAAAAGGATTTCGGCTATTTAAATTGCCACAAGGTAAAAATTAACAATTTATTGTAGGTATTCAATGAAAAGGTCATATCTCGGGTCATATATTACGTTTTAATTTTTTGAAGGGTAAAAATTAAAATAATGTTAATGGAAGCATTTTGTAGTATTTGGAAGCATTGGAAGGTCCGTTCTAAAACCTATATCTATGATTTGTGAAGAAGTACCTACATTATTTGTTGGTGCGGGGTATGACAAAATTGAATTGTTTCAGGTTCACTTCCCGGAGTAACAATTTGAAAGAAATAGGAGTGATAATCGAATATTATTACGCTGTGATGCAGTTCTTGATTTGAAAGTGACTGCCACAACTACACAACTTTATTTTTAGCTTCTTCAAATTTCACAAACTGCTCGCATACAGTCGCATCCAAAAATATTTGGTTGTGAATCTGATTTTTTTTTACTAAATTGTCCAACATTTGAAGTTTACCGCGTAATTTTGGAATCAAAATGGCAGCCGAATTGCACTACCTACTTTGTAGATAGGATAGAGCGACTTTATCATACGTCACGAGACGCTTCAAGTATAATATACGCATACCTATTTACGTGTATAACTTATTTCTGTAATACATCGCGGCAAAATGAAGGGGGCGAAAATAGTCACTTCTATCGGCATTCACTAAGTGCCCAACTTTTAAATGTTTTTAGTTTGCAGGTTTTAGCATTTGAACCTGCAACATAACTGCCGATTTATTATCAGTTACGATGTAGAAATATTCAGCACACGCCCGCTCGATGCCATGATGACAGCATTCACATGCTGAAACCATAAGTTCTCAAAACATGACTAAATTATTGCACCGCTGGATTTCAAAATCATGAAAGTAAACTTTCCCGTTGCTTTTCCCTTGACGTTCCCTTAAACGTTATAACAAAAATAAATCACCGGAATTCAATGGAATTATATAATTATAATACAGTTTTTAATAATCGATTATTTTGTAGAATTGGCAATTTTCGTCCAGGTGTGGTAATGTAGTAATGCCAAATATAATAATTTATTGTTCGGGTGGTATAAATGGTTACCTCTAATAGAAACAGCTCTAAACAGTAAAGATACTTACATTTAACATAATGCTCTTCAAATCTAGATCGCATTAATTTGTATAATTCTAAATATTTTTGATATTCTCCTTTCTTCCTCGCCACATCCTCAGAGAGCTGAAATAAAATATTAGATTATTATAAGTAAGACGAGAATGCATCAACATATTTTTTAAACATAGCCTATTCTACTATTACGTATATCAAATACGGTCGAGAATACGGCGGACTATCCTGTGTAAATCATGTCCCGGAATTGTCTCATTAGGTAACGCAAGTTCGATTTAAAATAAACTAAACAAATATAGAAAAAGAGCTCTTGGGTATGGCTATAGCATGTGCAAAACCAAATTTTAAACCTGATAAATAAGAAAGTTGGCACTGGCACTGCACATCCTACACAAACCCAAATTTGGAAAATGGCGCTACATTTGCTTTTATTCCAAGTGGATAATATGTATCAAATTTCATTTGAATGCCTCCATAAATGAGAAAGTTGGCACTGCGCATGCGAAAAACCAAATTTTGAAACTGGCGTTATATTTGCTTTTATGTCTTACTAACCTATCATAGCACATTTTATATCTGTGATACGCGGGCATAAAGTACCACTTTATGCCCTAGGGCATTAAGTATCACCATAGTAACTCATTTATACTTACTTAATGACAAAACAAACAAATATTTGCAGGTCATTGAAAATTAGAAACGTCAATTATTAATTGTCAATACCTACTAAATCACAAGATTGGCCTTATTTCGTATAGTTTCTGGAACTTCTTGCCCATTCACGATGAATTGAATTATTTAAAATTACGTTTGACGTTTGGATGGTTTCAATCACATTAACAAATTCGAACCACGCATACTCGATCAAACATAATGAATTATTTTGTAAACGAATTTTGAAGAAGAAAACTATTTGTAAAACATAAAATTGTGTATGTACCACGGGCATAAACTGATGTTTATACTCTCGGGCGACTAAAAAGCTCTCGGGCCATAGACCCTCGAGCTTTTTAACTCGTCGCCCTCGAGAATATAAACATCACTATTATGCCCTTAATACATAAAATTATTCCAAGTGGCTATGTATCAAATTTCATTTTTGTAATTTCGTTATGAAATACTTAAATTTAGTTGGCGTTTTCGGTTTTAAAAGAGCCGTCATTTAGCCACAGGTGACACATTTTGGCACATTGGCGCACTGTTACATTAGTCCTACACTATGCTGAACGTGAATTCGATCAGAAAGTAAATACGAACTAGTTTCTTCTGCAGCCGCATCAACGTCGGATGAAATACTCACAATACGCGTCTAGTGCGCCAAAGACAGTCAATTTGTAACTTGTTACATAAATAGCTATTAAATACCTTCATAAATAAAAAAGTTTGCAATTCGGTTTATAAATGGTCGAGATGCGAAAAGGGCACTGTGATTGTTGATCGATTAGGCTCAATTTTTGGAATTGAGTTTTATATGGCTGAAGTTATACGCATATTGAATTTCATGCAATTCGGTTCATAACTCACGGAGATTTCAAAAGGGCCTTCCTTATTTTTTGGGCTACATTGCCAATTCACGAACTCCGATCTACAGATTTGATAAAGAATCCATCTACTAAATTTGATCGTAATCGGTCCATTCGTTATCGAGATCGTGCTAACGGACGGACAAATACCGCAAAATTATAAAATCGCTAGGAACTCGTTAATAAATCAGTTGCAGCAATATCGATGGTGCCACCTGACGTGCCGCCGTATTGAAAATGTTTTTATTTAACTCGGCAGTTTGTAAATAGCACCATAAAATATTGAGGCCGGTAACTAAAATTTTTCTCAAAATATAGCTGACATACAATCCTCTTGACTCTTGAGTCGCAATTCCTAGCTCTTAAACACAAATTCTTCGACAAGCTAGAGTTTTAATTATAGGGTGGCGCATCTAAAACGATCCAACCTTAAGGGCGCGCTATCAGTATTGTGTGTTGCCTATCTCACAATAGCTTTCTTATGGGAAACATGCCTAACGTAATTCATACCGTTTTTAAAAACTATACTTTTTTTTGGGAAATGTTTGTTGTTTCTTGTTCTTAAATGTATGTAAATTATGAGTGAACAGTTTATATTGCATTAAAACTCATAGTACATTCTCTGAAAGCGTATAAAGTAGACGTTCGGTTGCAATGACAATCTTTTGTGTATAATTCAAAGGTCAAAGAAATTTTTGAAATATAAATGGTTTCTCCAGATTCTTGCACATATAATAATTAAAACGTGATGCGAAAATCGATTAAATGTGGTTTCTAAAGCACAAACGGTATGAACTCCGTACACTTGAAAAATAGCTCGTAAAACAATTATAGTAAAGAAATCTGTTCTCAGTATAGTTCAACGTGTACGGTATACTATTCTTAAAAAGCGGGAAATTTAAAGTGGAGTACTTATTGGAATGTATTTTAGCTTAGTCCTTTATTGGTTTTTTTGGTCATTAGCATTACTCATTAGTGCAGATAAAATGTTTCCAGCAAAAAACCGTATCATAAGTAGGAATTACAGTGGTTAATGTTACCTACATTCAAAATTTGGGTTAGGAAACTGGCAAAAGAAGTATTTATAAACGTTGAGTGAAGGATCAGGTGATTTTTCACTCTACGTTGCAATTAATTAATATAAAAATTTCAGAGCTTACAACTGAAAAAGTGGAAAACGATTATTTAAAAAAAGAGGTTATGTTGGTTGATGTTTCTGAATTGATAATACCATTGTTAAAGTATTTAAACAATGATAATACACAAAGTGTTAATACTGCTTACGTTTACCAGACGAAGCGCTTCATGAGCGCTACTTAAGGGCAGGAATACTCTACCAAACTTTCGCGCCCAAGTTGCACTGTCGAGATGTACATTGTACAATGCCACCGTAAGTCGGATGTACGGTGGTATTTACACCTCGGCAGTGCTATCAGACAACTCATGCAAGAAATCATTAACTGGAGATTATATATTCGATAATAAATGTACATGTCACTTACAACTAAATTTAAGCACTATAGTAATAACGAAACCCCACCGATTGGATGCCATCTCGGTTCCCATAATTTGAATAACTACATACTATCGGTATTATATCAAAAAATGATTTTATTTCACATCCAAGGGTCACATCGGTCAGGTTACGGTCAGAACATGTTTGTAAGAAATTGACCATGATGTGACCGATGGCCTTATATAAACGCAATGTAATGACATCATTTGCTAAAATGATAATCGGAAACAAATTTATTCCGTGTCGGAAGTCAATCTTCGGAAATGTGTACAGTCGAAGAATAGCCTAAAACAATCCAATAATAGAACTATATTAAAATAAAGATCCTCATCTTTACTTACCTAGGTAGGTACTGTTTTTTGTTGTTATTTTGGAGTTAATAGAAAATCAGGTAAACATAACCCATAACATAACCCCACTTTGAATGGCATTTCAGGAATTACAATTACACACTGTTATTGCCATTCAATTGAATTACTGAACAAAACCGCATATTATGGTAAATAAGTATTTTTTGGTAGAATTTATTTCACACGATCACTAAATTCCCTTTTTAGAGTTACGGAACGATATTTACAGTTACAGATGGTAACCAAAGGTAAGCAAAATACTATTTTTAATATTTTATCTCAAGACGAATGTATGCGAGTGTTAGTGACCTAACGAAGTACAAATAGGGATCACGGATTTGGGATGGCAGCACAAAGCGACGAATATTTCAAAAATACTTCTTAGTTCACTTTTCTAACACCATGGCGTGCAAACGCACCCTTAATAACTGGCGAAAGAAAAGTGATGGCCAATGCGTCAGGTCATACACTTATCACCATAAACCACCGAGGGACAATAATTTCAAACGGGGACTTTTTCTACTCATTTATTTTCCACCACACCGACTTTAGCATTTTTAAAATAAGTATTATAGTATCATACTTTCATGTGACACATCAAATTAAGTTCTGCGAAGAATTACGTAAAAAAATCCGATACAACTGGAAATACCGGAAACGATACTCGGGTGGTTCATTTTTGGATTTGTAACCTACGCTACCTACAGCTGAAAACAATAGGCAACCTTTCTTATATCCTTATTACGAGCCTGTGCACCAATTCAAAGCGATCGGACGTCTCACAACAAAGCCATACAAAATGATAACAATCCCGACAATGGTTAATAAAATGGAACTTGGGGATACCGTTTTAAAAATATGGCAATTAAGCATCCTTAATGAGCACTACACTACACTACAATTTCAAACTTCATTAAAAAGGTTCAAAATTACCATATTTTCATCAAAGCAGTGGTACAGCCATTTATGAATTGATTTTTAATGCAAACAATGCGAAATGGAAATGATATAAGTACAGACATCAGGTGGTCAGGTGATGGCGGCGGTGGGTCCGTGAAGTTAGCAGCACATTGAAGGCACAAATGTCGAGACTAGGTGGGTTGGTTAGTGCTTCGTTTGTGCCGGTTTGTGCCGTAAAAAGTTTGCCAGCAAAACATACCGTTTGGAAATTATTTCGATTGTTAAAGGTTCTGCTAATAGGCCAGTCATTGAGGATTTTTACCTGGAAATAACTCGGAAAGTACAGAAATTGCTTGAGTGCGTAGAACTAAAATTCATAAAATGCACAATTATAAACTTGCCGCCGGGGCTGCCATCTTGCCAAGATGGCCGTCAAAAGCGGTTTTCCGCCGATATATCCGAAACTGCGCATTTTACGAGAAAATATGTGGTGAGCAAAATTAAAGAAACGAAAATTTCCTACAAAAAATGTAGTTAGCATATTTTCACTAAAGTTAGCCCTTACGCAGAAATTCAGAAATTTTTAATAACCAGTGGCGTATATTTTATCCAAATAATTCATTAGTCATTTAATTAATTAATCAAATTGATTAATCAATTAGTCTATGATCAATTAATTTTAAGATTTTATTTTAGTCGTCTCCATCTTCAATGGTGAGACATATCAATTTTCAAATTTTATTAGTTAAATCAATTAGTTATATATTGTTATATTCAATCCCTTTAAGAACTTACTTACAGCATTATGGA